TTAAAAATAGAAAATGGGTAACTGTTTTACTTGTCAAGTTATTACTAGAGTGTCCATCCCAGGGACCCCGACCCCGTCACCCCGGGGTATTTAAGCGATTTTTTCACCCCTTGCCCCGGGATAAAATACTTGAAATACCCCGGGGCAAATATTTACTATTTTACTGAACAAATATCTTTTTCATAACAATAATTCATAAAAACCATCGTCCTCATCAAAATCATCGTCATCATGATGATCGTCGTTGTTTATAGGAAACGCACCATAGATTTGAAATATAAGTCAGTGAAAAAGGGTAAAACCTTTGCTAGGGTTGGTGAAAGGAATTTGGAAAATGAAAGAGAAACATTTTGAGAGAAGAAAGATCTGAAGGCTACGAGTTTAATCGCTTTTTTAATTTTCTTTAATCGCTCTAATTCACATAGATTTGAGCTCACTTAAGAATTTTTTTATTATAATGCTTTAAACTTAATAAAAATGACTTCTTATAGAGGTATTTTGAAAGTGACGTATGATTAGACTTAAATTCTGTAACATGTGTTTTTTATACTGTGAGATTTTCCAGATCTGTTTACTTTTACGACAAGCTTGAACAAAAAAGTGATAAAACTTTGTCAGCCTTGTTATTTGTTTGATATTTTTTTAAATACGATTTATAAATCAATAAAAATCTTAATCAAGTATCTTTTATTTCAAATATTTTTTGCTCCGGGCTGCACCCCGGGTTAAATATTTTTTTCACGTGGAACCCTTCCCCGGGGTAAAAAATTATTGCCTCGGGGTGGACACTCTAGTTATTACATCATCTAAGTAATTAGTTGTCTGATATTAGCCTAACTACTCAAGCCATTTGTGCATCTTTGAAATAATTTTTTGACAATTTTTTTTACTTCGGTAGTACGTTAAAATGTCTTTTTCCTAAACATGAGCAAAAGACTTAGTGAAGATGAAAGTGCTAGCATGGAACTCCTTTGTCTCGTCTTTGAACTTTTCTTCTTTTAAGATTGAAAGGTGACTTAATGGTTTTTCTTTTATGAGATCAGTGCTTAAAGGAATTCTTTTCTGGTTACAGTCCTCTATCCAGATATTTAGCAATCTTTCTAATTCAATCATGATAACATTTTGATTTCGAGTGGTATGCGCACATGATAAGTTTGAAGCAGCTTTACCTTTCATTTTGTATTCATCAGCTTTACCTAAAATTGCTCTTACTGTTGACTCACCTAGTTTGTGCTCTAGGCCTATTTTTGATTTCGAGACACCATCTTCACTTTTCTTATGATTTCTATTTTTTCTTCTAAAGAAATAAGTTTTCGAGTTTTCCTTACAACTTTTCTCAAACCATCCAGCAGTTCAAGAAAAGAACTAACCTGCACAACGTAAGAATTACAGGAGAAGCAGCTAGTGCAGATAAGGAAGCTGCTGATGAATATTCTGAAGTTCTGAAGAAAATTGTGGAAGAAGGAGGGTATTCAGATGAACAAATTTTCAACGTCGACGAGACGGGGTTATTTTGGAAAAGGATGTCTTCGAAAACTTTTCTGGCCAAATCTGAGAGTTCTTAGTCAGGATATAAAGCTGCAAAGGATAGACTAACCCTTTTATTGGGCGGCAATGATAGAGGAAATTTGAAATTAAAGTCTATGTTGGTTTATCGAGCTCAGAATCCAAGAGCTCTTAAAGGTATAAATCAAGGACAATTATCAATAATATGGAAATCTAATAAAAAAGCATGGATAACTAAAGCTTTGTTTGAAGAATGGTTCGTCAAGTATTTTTGTCCAACGGTTGAAGACTTTTGTCGAAGAAGAAATTTAAATTTTAAAGCTTTGCTTATTTTAGATAATGCCCCTGGTCATCCTTTTGGTCTCGATTCAATGTGCAAAAATATTC